CTCCGGGGGGCCCCGGGGGCCCCCGAGGGGCCCCCCGGGGAAACACCCACGCCCGCACTCGGCTCAACCGGGGGGGCCCCCACTTCCTCCTCAGGGGGCCCCTCTTCGGGGGCCTCCTCTTCGGGGGCCCTTTTGGGGGCCTCCCTGGGGGCCCCTTTGGAGGGCTTAGGGGCCTCCTCAGGGGCCTCCTCAGGGGCCTCCTTGGGGGCCTCTTTAGGGGCCTCTTTCGAGACTTTAGGGGCCTCTTCAGGCTCATCTTTGAGGGCTTTAAGAGCCTCTTTGGGGGCCTCCTTGGGAACCTCCTCGGGGGCCTCTTCGTGGGCCTCCTTGGGGGCCTCTTTGTGGGCCTCCTTAGGGGTTTTAGGGGCCTCCTTGGGGGCCTCTTTGTGGGCCTCCTTGGGGGCCCCTTTGGGGGCCTCCTTGGGGGCCTCTTTGTGGGCCTCTTTGTGGGCCTCCTTGGGGGCCTCCTTGTGGGCCTCCTTGGGGGCCCCCTTGGGGGCCTCTTTGTGGGCCTCCTTGGGGTCTTTATGGGACTCCTTGGGGGCCCCTTTGGGGGCCTCTTTGTGGGCCTCCTTGGGGGCCCCTTTAAGGGAATCTTTGTGGGCCTCTTTGGGGGCCTCTTTGTGGGCCTCCTTGGGGGCTTTATGGGACTCCTTGGGGGCCCCCTTGGGGGCCTCATTGTGGGCCTCCTTGGGGGCCTCCTTGTGGGCCTCCTTGGGGGCCCCCTTGGGGGCCCCTTTGGGGGCCTCTTTGTGAGCCTCCTTGGGGGCCTCTTTGTGGGCCTCCTTGGGGGCCCCTTTAGGGGCCTCTTTGTGAGCCTCCTTGGGGGCCTCTTTGTGAGCCTCCTTGGGGGCCTCTTTGGGGGCCCCTTTGGGGGCCTCTTTGTGGGCCTCCTTGGGGGCCCCTTTGGGTACCTCCTTGGGGGCCTCTTTGGGGGCCCCTTTAGGGGCCCCCTGCCCCTGAGGCTGCGCTGGCTTCGTCATTGGAGCAGAGCCTGCACACAGCGCGCCCCAAAAGGGAGGCCCCTGCGGGGTGTCTGTACACCGCAGGGTGTGGGTTTGCTGCAGCAGCAGAAACGCTGCGAAAGCAGCAGTTGCCTGTTTGAGGTGTACAGACAGCCCAGGAGGCTGCCCACGCTTCAGGGCCCCTACCTGCTCAAATAAGTCACTTTAAATCTTTTTAAAACTCCGGGGAAACTTAAAGAGGCAAATGGAGAGGTCGGGGGGTCAAATCTCAGGTGTATCGACAGCAGCTGACGGCCCGCCCGCCTCGCTGAGCCTCCGCGAGCGGCGGGGGGGAAGCAGCAGCAAAAAAGAAAACTAATTGGACTTTATTTATGTTTTAAATTGTCAAAAATGAAGAAGCAGAAGAAAATAAATGCAAAAAGGACAGCAGAAGACGCAGTTGCATCCCCCAGGCCTCCAGCTGGTCTTCACAACATCCAGTCAACACACAGTCTTCATCTACTTTGGGGCACCAGGGCTGTTTAAAATTACTTCATCGGCTCTAAAATATATTTATTTTCCATTTATTTGAAAAAAAACCGAATGTTTCCTTTAATTTAGGCGACTGGCGCTGATGTGGACCAATGGTCCACTGGCTACATTTCTGGCAGCAACAGCCCAATCCAATCTTATGCTGAAAGCTCCCCTGCCAACAAGTAAAGGTTTAAAGAGAATTTAGAGAAAGAAAAATGGTTTAGAGGATATTTAAATATTCAAAAGGATTTGTAATGGCCCTCGAGTTGATTACATCTGCTGCTCACGCTTACGACTCTGAGGTGTCTGTACACCTCAGGCTGTACACACAGTTTTTCAAAAATTTCAAAAACGCGAAAAGAGCCAGAGCTGCAGCAGCAGCTCAAATTTAGAGTTTATGCATTAATATTTATTCAAATTAATTCAATAAAGAAGTTATAAAAGCTTTTTATTTGAATTTAAATGCAATTCCACTCCCCCTGTGCAAGAGAGCCTCTTCTGTGTATACCACGAAGCAGAGCAGCAGCTCCTGCATTCCTCTCACTGCAAGTCGCTAAACCCTAAACCCTAAACCCTAAACCCTGAAACCCTAAACCGTGAAACTCTATAAACCCTAAACCCTGAAATCAACCCGAAACCCTGTACCATGACAGTATACCACGAAGCAGAGCAGCAGCTCCTGCATTCCTCTCACTGCAAGTCGCTAAACCCTAAACCCTAAACCCTAAACCCTGAAACCCTAAACCGTGAAACTCTATAAACCCTAAACCCTGAAATCAACCCGAAACCCTGTACCATGAAACCCTAAACCCCAAACCCTAAACTCTACAGGCTTCAGAGCCCTTTGTCTTTCTGGCTTATTCTACACTGCTAACCTGCCAACCTCCTGGGCCGAAAATCCTTAATCAAACCCTAAACCCTAAACCCTAAACCCTAGGAGCATAAACCCTAAACCCTAAGCCCTAAACCATCAAACCCTAATTTCTCAGTCTGAGAGCCACCCAATGCGCTGAAGAATCTGCCGTGAGAGTCTCTGTGGCGTAACGCTACAGTGCTGCTTAATGCAGCAGCAGCAGCAGCAGCAGCAGCAGCAGCAGCAGCAAAAGCAGACTTTTCAGGGGTCGAAAAGAACTTCATTGAATTCTCCAATAAAACCCAAACTTTTTGAAATAAATTCTTCCATGAAACATTTACTTATTAAGAAATTAATTTAGAAAAAAAAAATTATTATTATAATCTAATGTTCTCATAAAGTTGAATTTAATGCTTTTTTTGTCTTCAAACCCCTCAGCTAGTTGTAGCTGCAAGTATATATTTAAAATAGAATATATTTAAAAAAGAATATTTTAATTAAAATAATTTAAATATTTTATTTAATAATATTTCAATTAAAATAACTTTTAATTATTTCATTTAATAATTATTTGAAGCCACAAAATAACAAAATTGTTTTCGAAAAATAAAAGCAGCAAAAGGCGCAGCAGCAGTCGCTGAGGAGCGGCTGGCAGCTGTACGTACACCCCAGCTGTGCGTGCGCGAAATCTGCGCAGCAGCAGCAGCAGCAGCAGCAGCAGCAGCAGCAGCAGTTGCTGCTGCTGCTGCTGCTGCTGCTTCACTGGGACTGGGCCGCCGGATTGGGCCACCCGTCTCACAGCACTGCAGGGCACGAAAGCGCCAGATCGCTCACCAGCTAGCTAGCTAGCTAGCCAGCTAGCTAGCTGGCTAGCTAGCTAGCTAGCTAGCTGGCCGGCTAGCTAGCCACCAGCTGGCTAGCTGGCTAGCTAGCTAGCTGCAGCTAGCTGGCTGGCTAGCTGTCAGTGAAGGGATCACAAAGAACGCTGTGTTGCGCGAGGGCAAAGGTCCGTGGCTAGCTAGCTAGCTAGCTAGCCGTAGCTAGCTAGCCAGCGAGCTAGCCATAGCTAGCTAGCCAGCTAGCTAGCCAAGGTCACACTGAAGTCGCTGCGTTGCCTGAAAGGCGAAGAAGGCCTGCGGGGCGGTGTGCGCTGGTGGCTCCAAGCTGCCGAGGGTTTAGGGTTTAGGGTTTAGGGTTTAGGGTTTAGGGTTTGCGGCGTCTAGGGGGAAATGAATTCCGCGGTGTCGCTCCTGAGCTTGGAAATGCCCTCAGCAACAGAGTCCTTAGCAGCAGCAGCTTTGTCTTTTGCTGCTGCTGCTGTGCTGCTGACAGCATCAGCAACAGTGTCTTTCATGCTGCAGGCCTTGTCGCTGATGGTCTGACCAATGGACCTTCCCTGGTCTTTGGCCCCCTCGCTTTTGTCTGCTGCAGCAGCAGCAGCAGACTCGTAGGCCTCGTGGCTGCGCTGCTGCAGCGCTGCTGCTTCGTCCTTTGCTGCTGCTGCAGCAGCACCAGTCTTCTCTTTTGCTGCTGCTCCCAACTCCCCAGCTTTTTCCTTCATGTCTGCGCCTGCGCGGCAGCAAGCCTCTTTGCTGTGCTGCGCTGCAGCAGCAGCAGAGTCGCGGGCGGAGGGGTCGGACATCGTCTGCTGCAGGAACAGCAGCAGCAGCAGCAGCAGCAGCAGCAGCGGCGCAGCGCAGCAAACTCGAAGCATTACGAAAACAGAAACTCGAAAGAATTAAAACTTATTTGAAATAAAGGACTTTAAGAAGGCAGTGGCGAGTGTGTGCGAGCGGTGTCTGCAGACTGACCAGTGGTCAAGGGTTGTTTGCAAAAGTGACCAGTGGTCAAGTCAAGAGTCAAGGTTGAAGAAAGCAGCAAATTCAAGTTTTTGCAAATGTGCACTTCAGAGCTTCAAAGAAAACAAATTGTGAACTTCTGGCAACGAATTTCAAAATCGCAAACCAGAAAAGAAGCAGCAGGGGAGGCGGAGAGAAGAAGCACAGCAGCTGCTGCTGCTGCTGCTGCTGCTGCTGCTGCTGCTGCTGCTGGCGCGGGAGCGCAGCGAGCTGTGTGTGCGCCTCCGGGGCGGTGCGCCCTTGTCAGTGCCGCTCTTTTGCCCCGACTTTTGATTTATTTTCTGCTTTTTACCTTTTTTAAATTAATTTTATTTATATTTTCCATTTCAAACGAAATTAAACCAAAAACGAGTGCTGTGCGGGCGGCCCCGCGCACAGCGGGTCACCTCTGCGCGGTGTCTGAGGCTGCAGACCAGTGGTCACTGCTCCGTGCGCTGTATCTACACCTGAATTCGAGTTCATTTTGCTTCTTTTTCTTCAAAAATATCCAACCTTTTAATAAAAGTTGACTTTTAGGATGGAAAAGAGCCTCGGGGGGCCCCTCCTCAGGGTCACCCCGCGCTGCGCGGCCTTGCTGCAGCACCGTGGGGCCTCCAGTCTGCACATATTGCTGCCACTTAATTTATTTCAAAGTTCCCAATTATAACTTCTAATTGCCATCTATTTGAGCCCCTAGACCCTAAAGAGGAGCAAAAGAAGTGCAGCAGCAGTACAGGCCTCAAGCGCTGCAGCTGGAAGACCCCAGAAGCACCCAAGGGCCCCTTGGGGGCCCCCAGGGGCCCCCAGAGGCCCTCTGGGGGCCCTTTTTAAGTCCCCTGAGGGCCCTTTGGGGGCCTCCAGGGGCCCCCGGGGGCCCCTAAAGTTACTTTTGGGGGCCCCTCATGGGTCTTCTAATAGGGCCCATAGAGGCAAAGGCTTGTTATGAATTCGAGGGCCTTTTTGATCTTAAAGCCAGCTGCAGCGCAGCAGCAGCAGCTACAGTTAGCAGCAGCGCTGCTGCTGCAGAGCTGCGCAGAAATGCATGCATGCAGCATTCCCAAGGAAGTTAGTTTGGAGAAAAATAATAATTCAAATAATTGCAGAAACAGATGCAGCAGCTGGGGGTCTTTTTGCTGTTTATATGTATATTTGCATATTTGAAAACAAGAATTATAAATATAAAATGAATTTATGGAAGAATAAAATTGATTTTTTTCTCTTGCTGCCTTCTCCGGTAGCTGCCCGCTGCTGCTGCCCTGTGCTGCTGCTGCTGCTGCTGCTGCTGCTCTGCAGCAGCAGCAGCAGCAGCAGCAACATCTCCGGGGAGAAGCAGATTGAATTATTTTGAATTCTCGTTTGCTGCGCTGCAGCTGCCAACAGCAGCAAGGGCTGAAATATCATTCTGGGGTTTGCCGGATTATTCAATTTTCGCAAAAAAGCCTCAAAATATTTAAAATTTTAGAAAGATTTAAAAACTTTAACAAATTGGAGACTCTAAACCCCAATTCTCAAACCCTAAACACCCTTTTTGGCCTGGAGCTAGGGTTTGGAGAATAAAATTAGGGTTTAGGGTTTCGGTGGGCTTGCCTTACCTAGCTAATGGGGGGTCACCTGGCTGCCACTGGCTGCCCCTCGGCACCTGAGCACTCGAACTGAAATAAAAATAAATAAAATTGTTTTAAAATGGAATTTATTTTGTTTTATTTGCTGCATTGTTTGCGAAAAGAGGGGAATGGGGGCTGCGGGCGTTGCACACTCTGCTGCAGTGCGCCACTGCGCTAGGCTGTGGCTGCGGCGCCTCCAAGTATGAATTAATTGTTTGAAGACAATTAACAAATGCGAAATAAACTTTAATTTTAATTTTAATTTTAATTTTAATTTTAATTTAAAAACAAATGATTAAAATTAGTAAGCGAAGCACTCTCGAGTATGGCGAGGCGGGCAAGCATCGGCCGCGGTGCATCTGCACCTGTCTATCTGGCGCAGCGCGAGATGGACTTGGTTTTGAATTCTTTTTGATTAAAAATCACAAAATATATTTTAAAAAGTAAAACTTAATCTAATTAGTGGATTTAAGAGGCTCGAACTTCCCCCGGACTTGCCGTGGGGCTGCTGGGCTGAGCCTGGCGACCAGTGGACAGCATCGGAGTGGCCGGCGCGCCATTTGGCCTTCTTGCGGGGAAACTTGGGAAAATTGGTTTTAATTTTCCGGCATTTTGCATGCAGAACAACATTTTGCGTGGCTTTAGGGCCGAAGCTGCTCCGAAATCCCCCAAACCCACCAGCACCAGCAGCAGCAGCAGCAGCAGCAGCAGCAGCGGCAGCAGCAGCAGCAGTCTCTGGAGCGGCTTCTGTCTCTGCGGCCGCCCTGCTCCCCCCTAAGACCCGCTATCCTCCCGCCGCCTCGCAGAGCCGCTGGGCCGCCCGAGGCGGCGTCCCCGCCCCCCCAGCAGCAGCAGCAGCAGCAGCAGCAGCAGCAGCAGCAGGAGCGATGGAGGCGCGCTGCTGCGGCGTGAGCGAGCGGTCCGTGGGCTGCTGCTCCGTGCTGCTGTGTCTGTGCTGCCGGCGCTGCAGCGAAGTGCAGTTTAACTGGTCAAGAAGGCGAAACTCCTGGCGTCTTTCTTTTTTCTACAGAGTGTTGGCGCTGGTGGCTTTGCTGGGGGCGCTGCTGACGCTGCTGCTGCAGCTGCTGATCCGCAGCCGCAGCTTCTTCCGCAACTACCGCTGCGGCCCGCGGGCCGTGGGGCTCCTCAGCGTGAACTTCACTTTAACTATTTGTTTGACTGCAGCAGCAGGCCTTTTCGCTGTGCTAATGGCCCGGATTTTGGCCATGTTTGGCCGCTTTTCCGTGGCGGAGTTCGCGGGCCTGGGGCCCTGGTACGGGCGGCTGGGCTTTCTCTCCAAGTGGGGCCCCTGGGCGGTGGCTCTTATAGCGGACTCTTTGCTGCTGCTGTCGCTGGTCAACAGCGTTTGGATCTTTGCTGCGCCCCACGACTGGTGCAGCAGGAGGTGGAACCACGCCGCTGTTGTTGCTGTCGACAACTGCAGAATCTGGTACGGGAGGCAACGCCTCCTGCCTCTCCACAGGTGCTCTAGGCTTTAGGGTTTAGGGTTTAGGGGTTAGGGTTTAGGGGTTAGGGTTTAGGGGGTGCGGGTTGGGGTTTGGGGGGGCTGGTTAGGGTTTGGCTGCTGTTGTTGCTGTCGACAACTGCAGAATCTGGTACGGAGGCAACGCCTCCTGCCTCTCCACAGGTGCTCCAGGGTTTAGGGTTTAGGGTTTAGGGTTTAGGGGTTAGGGTTTAGGGGTGGGGGGTGGGGTTTGGGGGGGTGGTTAGGGTTTGGCTGCTGTTGTTGCTGTCGACAACTGCAGAATCTGGTACGGAGGCAACGCCTCCTGCCTCTCCACAGGTGCTCCAGGGTTTAGGGTTTAGGGTTTAGGGTTTAGGGTTTAGGGGTTAGGGTTTAGGGGTGGGGGGTGGGGTTTGGGGGGGCTGGTTAGGGTTTGGCTGCTGTTGTTGCTGTAGACAACTGCAGAATCTGGTACGGAGGCAACGCCTCCTGCCTTTCCACAGGTGCTCCAGGCTTTAGGGTTTAGGGTTTAGGGTTTAGGGTTTAGGGTTTAGGGGGTGGGGGGTGGGGTTTGGGGGGGCTGGTTAGGGTTTGGCTGCTGTTGTTGCTGTCGACAACTGCAGAATCTGGTACGGAGGCAACGCCTCCTGCCTCTCCACAGGTGCTCCAGGGTTTAGGGTTTAGGGTTTAGGG